GTCTGTCCACGGACCCTGTATTTTTTCTTGAGTTCGTTAAGATCGCAGGCAAAAGTATTTTGGGTCGATCGGCCGTCAATTCTCCGATGAGGGGAGAAAAACAATTACTGGCTTTTAATTTTCCCAGTTGGAAAACATGTTCAACGCCGGCTAGTCTGCTAATTCAACATGGCAGGAAACATTTCAATGACTACGTTTTTATAGAGAGTATCCAGAAACACCTAATTTATCGCGAATTGTGAGTTAGGAATCGCCGTATTGGACAGTAACAACCTCAGTATTAAACCACTTCCAAATCAGCGGTGTAAGTGTTCGGTGACTTAGCAGAACTGGCTCTTTACTCAGATTTCTTCAGCGTAACTCCTATCTGTATTCCCTGGTCGGGACGCGAAAGTAATGCCGGAATTTTGTCTTAAGCCCCTTTAATAATTAGACGCCACATAAATCTTGTAACTCCCTGTTTAGGAGTGGACAAGTCAAGACGTTGGTTCGTTAGCGAGAAACTCGTAGACCGTGTCTGCGGTAAGAAAACGATAATTAGGACGGCATATCTCTTCACTTGAAACTTTATTGAAACTGTTCATAGCGCAGTTTCACCAAGTTTCGATATTCTATGTTCCATATGCTGTTACTTAACAAGGTTACAATTAATTCATTTTCTTGCCGGCCGAAGTTATGGACACTTTACTGTACGTGAATCTACTATTTGTGTGCTGGGAAATGGTCATAATTAACTACCACCGAAGCTGCAAGTTAACTGTAGTATTCCTTTGAGAGTGGAATTAGTAAAATTATCGTAAATTGCCAAAATTTGTTCTACAAAACAAAATTCCACTTGTATACCAACTCCTGTTTGGAGAGTTCATTTCGTATACAAAACTTAAAATTTTGATTATTAAGCTAGAAAAAAATACAGTTTCACTCAAAGATTGTTATTTTTAAGCTGAGTTGTGATGTTCTTGAGACCTATACTGATGAGTTATTTTTTATTCGGTTGTTACCCCCAAATTTACTCTAATTTCGTGCGTAGACATTTTAAAAGTATTTTAAAGTCAATAGCAGGATTTCGTGACTTAGATATGATGAGTGTTTTTATACCAACCGATCAGATGAAAATTACTGATAGACGGCCGACCAATAAGCTTTTAAGAGCATAGTCAGTTTCTGTTACCGCAACAAGGAATGAGCGTTATGGTTAGCGTTCCCAACACACGTCTCGTGGGAACGACGAGGGTGACTGCGATAGCCGAGAAACGCGATTAACAGTTCACATGAATCGACTTAATAATGACGGAACATGGGAAACACAACCAAATTTAACCAAACTGAAGTCTTTGAAGTCTCGGTAATAGAACAAATGCAAACGTCCAGCACTTCAACGATTTCTTTTGTAACGACCCGAAAGTTTCCTCGTTTATCGCTACATGGCACATCACCTTTGTTTTGGAACTTTTGAATTCAATTTAAAAAGATGTATTCCTATTTCGATTGACATATCCCACACGTGGCACCCTGCACGCTTGCGAAATGTATGATTGGCCTCTCACCGCAATGATGCAATAATTATAAGCACATTCGAATATCCGGTTCTCCTGAAAGAGCACGTGTATCTAACCGGCGTGTTAATTTCTTCGTGATTGGGGATTGTGACCGTACTAAAGTGATAACTGAACATCAGAGGTAAGCGAAACTTTAGAAACTACATCATCATAGTCGACTGTGCTCAGTTAATGGAAAGAAAACATCTCTTAAACTTGAACATTCTTTAGCCAGTTCTATGCCTTGTCCCGAATCGGCGCAAGAGATGTTTAAATTATTTAAATAATTCGTAGTAATACAATTTAAAAGTTCATTATAGTTTTAAACGTAGTTCGAAAAAGAAACAATGTGTCGAACGAAGCCTCTGACAAACGTCGATCATGTCTATGGTTAAAGATGGAAATATATTTCAGCGATTGCATAATTGTACAAAGTAGATACCAAGTTATCTTCGTTGAAAGTTTCGCAACTTCCAGAAAACCAGTTTAATTTGTTTCGTGTTAAAATATTACGTAGAAAGCAAAGAAAGAACTACTTTTTGCTGCATTCACCAAATGATTTCAGGGAATGTGACGAGCATTTAGTGTCAAAGAAGTTCCGGTTCTCTTTATGACAGTAGACAATGAGTAACCCTTCTTTCTCTTACTGCGTAGCGCGTGACGTGAAAGAAAACCGCGAGGAAATCTTTATCAAGTAATGGTTTGAAATGATTGAAAACACAATATAAATAGTAGGAGGCTGAAAAGGGGTTAGAAGGAGTCCTGATGATAAAGATTGGACAGGATTGAAACGGATTGAATATGCCTGTGCTTTGTCGTATAAAGAGCAACAACACGTGTTAAGAGGCGGAAACG